CTCCGAATCTCGCTCCCATCTGAGGGAGGCAAAAAGCCACTCGGACCGTAAGTCAGCGCAAAGCCGATTAGCAGCAGCACTTTAAAACCCCTGGCGCTCCCCGGGCAGAGGGGGCAGCCCACCGGCGCGCACCACCGACGGACGGACCGAGCCAGGGGGAGGACGAGACCAGCAGCACACAGGAAAAGCAACGGGGAAACGAAAGGACGGAGTGTCTTGCTGAGACTGAGCTGTCTTCCCCAGGGGCCTGCGGGGAATCACACCGAAAGTCCCAAACTCGCAGGGGAATTCATCTGTGACTTGAAGTTTCTGCTGCAAAACGCGGTGTGCCCCGCGGTGTGTCCCCCGGCTCCTCCGGCAGGAGGCTTTGCCGCGTGATGCCCAGCGTTCCAGGCACTGCTTCTTTCCACGTCAGGATTTCTTTTCCCCCTTCCTTGCCTTAAACGCCTCTTGGGAAGGCAACAGTTAAGGCTGGGACCTGCTGGCTGAGCTCCCCCAGCCTGAGCCCTGCATCGATCCCGGGCCCTTGCAGCAATCCTGGGGACGCTGCTCCGTCCCGTGGATAAGTGTGGAAACGGCAGCACCGGCTCCGCATCCTCAGGGAAGCCCCGGCACCCACCACCCAGCCGGTGCCTCCAGCCCATGCCACGGACACAGCTTCACCTCCTTGTCAAATCTGGAGCTTGGCCGGCGAGGGGAAGGTTTGTAGGGAGAATTAAAAGCTGATCAAATAAAACCACTGCTGCTGCCCACCACCCTGGCAAGCTCGCACCCGTAGCCAGGGAGCTGCTGCGATGGGGAGGTTTATTTCCCTAACTCTGTGGTTCTCATTAAAGGGGAAAACAGTGAGGGCAACAGCTGGGGGCAAGCAGAGGAAGAGCTGCATGAAGCTCTGAGCTGAGGACTTAAGACTCGTTGCACCAGCAGCTCACATCTGGAGCTGGGAGAGAGCAGGCAGGGGTGGGAGCAGGGGGTGTCTGGCACATCAGCGAGGGCTACATGAGGTCCAAACTGAGTGTGAGACCCTGGGTGACAAAGGAGGGAGAAAAGAAGGTGGATGTGGCCAGGTGAAGGTCTGTCAAGGAGCTCGGGCTAGGACAGGGATGGGGACAGGGCTCCTACAACCTTGCTGCTGGAAACCTCAGTCAAACACAGCGCTCGATCGCACCGGGGAATTAAACTGCCCTGCTTCTGCTGGCTCAAAGCTCCTACATGCTTCAACCTCGCCAAGCCCAACAGAAGAGAACAAAGACTTTAAACCAGTCTTCCATGACTCAGAGTGGAAGTCCCTTTCCCAACCTATCAAAGGAGCCCCACAAGATCAGCTCCCCGAGCCAAGCCTGCAAGCCAGACAACCAGTTACAAACCCCACTGATGGTCTCTGCCACCCCAGTGGGCAACAGCACCTCTTTTCAAAAGCCCTGCCACCTTGGCACAATGGCTCCCGGCAGCACCCAGCCTGCTCTGCCCACCCACATCTGCGCCCCAGGTCCTGTCTGAAACTCCCCGGCACCCATTCTCAGCTGATGGCTCCCATCAGGACTCAGGGCTGAGTTTGGAGCTTCACGGGGACGGAGATGGGGACCCACCATGCTCTGCTACTTGTGAGTGCCGGGACACGGTCTGCACCCTGCATTTGCATTTCACCTTATAAATAGCTACGGGCAGGCACGGGCAGTTCCTCTCCCGACACCGAAAGCTTCTCACCTTCACCAGCGTGGCCACATAGCACTTGAAGGCGGCCAGTTGGGCTCCCGACAGCACCGAGGCACGGGCGGTCTCCACCCGCAGCGAGTAGTGCAGCGTGGGCTCCAGGTCGGCCATGTACAACTTGGAGCTGAGGAGGGCAGCGCAACACGATGGCTCGTCAGCCCGTTAATCCGCACCTCCAGGGACTCAGCCACGATTTGGGGTTTTTCCCCAAGGGAAAGGCATGGTCCCAGCCCGTTGCCCACCCAAGGCCATGGTACCTCCTCCCTGCATCAGCCCTGGCCTCCCACAACCCCAGAACAATGAAGGGGGGGTCTGACCGGTCAGCATGCTTTAGCTGGGACGCATCGGTCTCGTTGGAAGTGTCAGCAGTTGTGTTCAGCTTGTAGGAGCCGCGGGTGACTCCCGAGAGTGCGCGCAAGTAGTAAGTGTAGAAGGAGCGTGCCTCCATGTGCCTGCCAGGAAGGTGAAGCCGTGAGTGAGACTCTCTTCCCTCCCAAACAGCCCCCAGGAGGAAGCAAGAGGCTCAGAGGCTCTGCCAGAGGCTCAGCCAAACCAGCAAACTCAGGAATGAGCATGGGGTGCTCCACACTCTTCGGCCACCCTGGTGACGGGTATCCTGGCACGCAACCTGGAGCAGAGCTGAGCCCTGAGGAGCCCTGCCGTGTCACCTTCAGGCAGGTGTGGTGGAGCAGTGGCTCCGGGCCCAACCCG